CACACACACCCACAGACACACACACACACACACACACCCACACACGCACACAGACACACGCACGCCCACACACACGCACGCACACACACGCACGCACGCACACAGATACACACACACACGCACGCACACAGACACACACACACGCACACACAGACACACACACACTCACACACACACACACACACACACACACACAGGGCTGCTGCAGGTCAGCTGTGCGTAAAGCCGGCCCACATACCGTCTGACCAATCAGCTGATGACATATCTGATCAATACGGCTGCGATCAGACGATCACAAATAAACAGGAAGCTAACAGACTGAATGTTTCTGAACCAACCGACACCGAGTCGTTTTTTAACTGCTGTAAAAATAAAAGAAAAACTGGACCAACTGTCTCAATATTTAATGAGATTTTTTTCCCGTTAAATCGTCTAATATAAAAGATAAATTAGTTTAATACGGACAGAAACTGTTTATAGATTCACATCCATGGATAATTTATATTTTATGTTTCAAACATCTTCAGCTTTAACTGAAATCATATTTTATGGAAATGTGATGAGATGTAAAGTCCATCCTGCATCAGAACCGCCTGGTTTTATGGACGTCACTCGGTTTGCAGTAAAGCCGCTAAAGTAATTAGCTTTAGCGGCTAACAGCCGGCCCATCCAGGAAGACATTTTGCAGGAAGTGAGTGATGTGGTCAGAGGAGAGCCGGTACCTTCAGGCTGTCCAGCAGCACGGTGGAGGACGACTCCTCCATGGGAGACTCCTGATTGGTCCAGGAGCTCCCCGCCGAGCCGGCCTGGTGCCAGCTGGAGTCGGGCGGCGCGGCGGAGGCAGCAGCTGGGAGGTAGTCCAGGCCGAAGCCGGTCCCTGAACGCAGCATCACAAACACGTCAGGAGAGAAAATCACTTCATTTCCCCACAGTGGAGAATCAGCAGCAGGAACAGGAGCAAGAGAAACACAAAGCAGAGCTAAAATATCACAGAGGACAGTAAGGGCCAAAAGTAGCACTTTGATCCAAAGGAATGTGTTTATTACGTTCTTGTGACAAACCTGTACAAACAGAGACGCTTTAGAAAAGAGTAAAACTGGAAACAGAAGCTGAACCGTTTCATTCACTGATCAGATCCCTGCTGAGTAAATGTAGAAAACTAAATGAGTTTTCAACAGGTTCACGCTGTAGAGCCTCAGACCGCCACTGGGGGTCACTGCAGCACCGCAGCTCAAAGTCAAAACGAGTCTGGACAGGAAATGAAGTCAGAGGATGAACCAGTCTGACCTGACCGCGGGCCAGCAGGAGGACGGGAGCCTCATGTTGACCCCCGACCCTGGAAGGCGGGACCAGGTCAGACTGGAGGCCATTTATCCTGTTTATCAGGATAAATTGATCATCATAGGAATTTAATCATCATAACAATAAACTCCAAACTGTCCGTATCGATGAGGTTATTATGTTCACCATTTTCTCCACTGTCGGTGTAAACGAACCGAGTTCGGTTCAGTGAAGCTCGTCGTGTTTCTTTAGCTGCAGGACGTTTTCCTGACATGCAGCCATGTTGTCACTTTAACTGATATTCCAGTCATTAAATATTTAATCCATCGTTTGCTTCCAGGAATCGGTTTCGGATCGACGTTCCGACCCTGAAACTCACCCGGTTTCTCGGCTTTCCATCGGTCCACGACCCGCCGGTCCCGGCTGTCCGGAGTGCCGATGGGCCCGAAGTTGGAGAAGGAAGCGGCTCCGTGGTTGTGGGTCGGGGGGGAGGAGGGCAGGCTGCTGGGGTTGGAGGAGTGAGGGGATTGGCTGGCCGGGGTGGAGTGGTCTGCCAATCAGAGAGCAGCATGGTTAACGGCGCCGCAGCACAGGTAGAGCTCACCTGGGCGGCCGGACCGTACCTGAGCTGGCAGGCAGGGAGGGCGACCAGGGGTTTCCCTCGAACAGGGAGTACAGGGACGGCTCCTGTTGCATCATGGGAGCGTCGGCTTTGGAGCTGGGCGGCAGGTTTTTACCGTACGCCTGACTGAAGATGCTGTTCTGGGCGAAATCCTGCAGAAACACCAAACATGAGCAGAGTTGGTTTAATGTTCCAGAAATATTCTGAACCGGTTCAGAATCTTTGTTTTCTGATCACATGGTTTGAGTCGCTGCTTTCTCAGATGTTTCTTCACGTTGTTAGACGCTTCAGTTCGAGTCATTTCTAGTTTCCACAGGTCAGAAATCAGACAGAAAATGTTTCATTTATTGATTCAATAAGTTCTTCCATTTAGGAAGAGAAACTTTACACCTGCTGCTATGCATCTGCAAAACAGCACATCAGGTTCAACACCAGAGAAACGCGACATTCCAACACAATCTGCTGGGAAAGTTTTCTGGAAGGACGACCTGCTGAAAACCCACATAGGAGGAATCACCCTGCTGCTGGACAACATGGTGGAACGGTTTCATTTGGAGTGAAGTGACCCAAACACAGAGTCAGATCACGACCTGGAGCTGGTCTGGTTTTATTCAAAGTTTGTCTGATGGGCTGAAGCAAGAGAAGAACTGGTTGTTCAGACGGAGGTCCTGACCTGCATGGGGAAGCCGGCGATGGGCAGCAGAGAGGACGACTGGCTGACGGCCTCCTGGCTGCTCTCCATCCTGCTCTGGTTGGGCAGCTGCAGAGACGGAGGGCAGACTGAAAACCAGCAAACAGGAAGTGACACGTTCATCTGCTTAACACCAGCTGATCTCATCTAACTGAGTCTGGATGTTAGGAAGACCGAGGAAATGAAGGAGAAAATAACTTTCAGTTTCTAGATCTACAGAGAAACAGCCTGGGGGGATGAGGAGGGCAGCATGCCGAGCAGATGGAAGAGGAAGAGGAAGAGGAAGGCATGGCTACATACAAAGATATTTGGTCCAGGAGCAGAGCTAAGAGGGCCGGCCAGGGCCTGGAAGAAATCAGGAGGCTTAGCAAAGATCAGCTCCTCGTCCTCCTCCAGGTCTGCTAGAGTTTTTAACAGGTCAGGAGGGAGGAAGGGCGAGCTCTTGTCCTGGTGAGAGAGGGATCCGGGAGAGGAAGAGCAGGAGGAGGAAGAGGGGAGAACAGAAAGAGAGCAAGCCAGTAAGAACAGTGGAAGGAAGGGAGAGTTTCACTGAAAGCTACAGCAGGTTTTATCTGAGCTGCAAGAGACTCTGTCAGTGTGCAGTTCCTAAACTGGCCAGCAGGCGGCTAACACATTCTGATAGGAGGAGAAGCTGCAGCACAGAGAGAGAGAGAGAGACAGAGAGACAGAGAGACCCCAGAAAGACAGCAGGGTCTTCTCTCAGCTGACCTCGAATGCAGGACCACGGGGCCCCGTGGGGCCCTCCGGCTCCACACACATCCCAGCAGGCGGGGCCCTCTTCATGCGCTCCGCCATCAGGGCCAGCCCCTCCCCCATCCGGTCCATGCGGTACGACGGCTCCCAGTAGAAGTCCTGCATCTTCACGTCAGGGAACTTCATCTTCTTGTCCATGTTGGAGATGTGAGGCTGGGGGCCCGGCAGCTGCTGTTCGTACAGCTTCAGGGAGTCCGGGGCCCCCATGAAGAACTGCTGCTGCTGCTTCATGGACATCTGCAGGGGGGAAAGCTTCTGCAGCGCCGCCTGGGACTGGCTCCACATGGCGGCCGGCTGGTCCTGGACCTGCATGAACTGTTCAGAGAGGAAACGCTCAGAGTTAACCTGCCTGAAAACAACATCACTGAGACGGTTACATCGACCTGGAGCTGCACAGTCAGCAGTGAAGCGCGCGGCGGGTGGAGCGGAGACGCATGCAGATAAACGGAGCACAAGTGGCACTCCAGCTTTGCACTGCAAGTTTATAAAGCGCGATAACTTTCCTTTGTATGATAGGAACCGTCCTGGTCACACCAAATGGGTCATTCACAGGTCAGCCAGGGGTCAGACCAGATACTGTTCATGTTTAGGATCACTACATCAAGGCATAAGTTCGTGTGATCGATAACTTGTGTTGAAATATTTTCTAATATAAATCATGCATAATAATAGCCTCTCCTGGCACAGCTGACCCTGAGTTTGGGGTAAGTTTAGCCGAATCCCAAAAACTCACCGTCTCCTCCCTAAATCAAAGAAACTTTTTCCCATCAAGTATACTGCATTTTTATACAAGTTGATAAAATTCCTCTGGGCGGCCCGGAGAACACGTCAGTGGAAACACGATGTTGGTCAGACTTGCAGAAAAGTTGTGCTGACTGGTGAAAATTGTGAATTTATGAATGATGAGTGAATTTGCTTTAATAAATTTACAGCTTAATTAAAGCAAGGATAAATTAAAAATATGCATCACTGGTGGTGATGTCAGCAGTCCTGCAAACCTCAGAGCGGGTTTCTGAAGGCGTGGCCAGTCGGCCCAGAAATCTCACTACGTCTTCAAACGAGTTCAAATCGGTTTAATGAGTCACCTAACCCAGCAATGAATCGGGTCAGGGTCAGCTGCCCCTACCTGCTGCAGCCCTGGGTGGTGCGGCGGGCTCTTGCCCATCCCGCCCTGCTGCCCCGGCTTGGTGGGGGACTGCTGCTGCTGGCTGAGGGCCTGGACCTGCAGCTGCACCGACTGCTGCAGGGCCTGCTGGGGGGACGGCTGCTGCTGCTGCTGGGCCGAGGGGCCCTGGCTCAGGGGCCCCGGCCCCTGGCCCGAGGCCCCCGGCCCCGACGGCCTCTGCTGGCTGTAGGGAATGTGGGACTGCTTCCCGGCCTGGCCGCCCGCCTGCTGGTGGACGGCCGACTGCAGGAAGGAAGCGGGGACGGACACGCCGGCAGGGAAGGTGAAGCCCGGATTCACCTGGATTCCTGGGAACGCCACCGGGGGCGGGATCACGTAGGCCGAGGGCGGGAAACCTACGGAGGAACAGACAGGAAGTTAAATCTGCTTTCCTTTCACAGTAAAAGACTGGCAGCGTATAAAACATCCTTTCACCAGCCTGAACAGAGACTTCAGGATCTCTGACCCGGTTCTGATTCTAATCCTCATCACAGTGAGCGGTTCTGTTTGGCAGCTGAACCGGGCCACCTTCAGAACCACGGGCCCAGTTCAAACCCTGAATGGCTGGATGAGAGCTAAGAGTAGCAGAATAACGGCTCTCTGGGAGAGAGAGCCTAGAGGTCAGACTAGAGGTCAGACTAGAGGTCAGCCTAAAGGTCAACCTAGAGGTCAGCTGATTGTTCCTCGTGTCTCAGACAGGAAGTGGGGCATCTCCCAGCTCTGTTGCCATGGTAACATCGTATTGCTGTCGTTTTTCAATTCATGGTGTAAAACTCTGGACCAAGTTAAATGAGGAGTTAAAACAGAGTCAACATGTAATTTAAAAGGAAACATAAGGAGGTTATTCTCATAAGATATAGAAATATGAGAGAGTTAGCACTGATGTGTGAGTTGAGGTTAATCATATGAGTGGATATGGAGGAATATATTTAGACATGAAGACCAGATAAAATGGAAAATGTTTTATTTTTTATGTTTAATAATGAGGGTCCAGTTTATGAGGCTGGAGTTCATAAGTTTCTTCTTACTCATGTTAACAGGAATGTGTGTGTTTCATTCCTTGTTCTTGTGTGATTTTACACTTGTGTCATGTTGAACATAAGTAACTGGTTTCAGGGTGAGCCTTACTGGGCCTGCTGGGCAGCGGTGGGAAGGCTCCGGGGTGATGGATGGGGATGAACTGGGACGACCCGGTCGTCTGGCTCTGCGTGACCGGAGTCTTCTTGACCTCTGACACCGGAGTCTTTCTCAGCTCCGTCTGAGCCTTCACCTGAGGGGGAACAGCGGTTACTGAGTGGACCAGGACCCGGGCCGAACGGCAGAACCGGGTCAGTTACGGTCCGACCTGCTTCCCGACATCGGCTGCTTTCTCGTGCGCGGCCTTCTTCACCTCGCTCTTCCTCTTCCCGTCCCTCTTCGGCTCCATCTTGGCGGCGGCCGTGCCGTTGCCCTTGGGGAAGTCGCGGCGCTCCTTGCTGAGCTCTTTCAGCGGCTGGTTCCGGCCCGGTTCCCGGCTCTGCTCCCTGGGCTTGATGTTCTCCTTGAAGGTGACGACGGGCCGCTCGTTGCCGTCGGACCAGGAGCTCTGGGTCTTCCCGGCGGACAGCACCGACTTCAGGCCCGAGTTCCCGCCGTCGTTCTGCGTCTGCTCGCCGTTGGACGACTCCTGCAGCACCGGGGCCTCCTTCTCCTGCGGCTCCTCGATGGCCTCCTCCGGGATGTCGGTGAGGAAGAGGAGCAGGCCGTCCTCGTTCACCTGGCACCGGATCAGCCTGCCGAGACAAGACACGGGTTCGGTTCGGACCCGACCGGGTCTCAGACGCACTGAGAGGCGGAGCGGCGAGTCTCACCCCGGCTGGCTGTCGGCGACCCACTTCCCCAGAGCGACGAGCCGCTGGTGGCGGGCGTGGACCGGCAGGCCGTCCCGGTCCACCAGGATGCCCTGGTGGCCTTTGGTGAAGTCCAGGCAGCGCAGAGCCGGCCGCAGCGCCAGGAAGCCCTGCAGCTCAAACTCCTCCGGCAGCGGCAGCGCTGTGGGCGAAGCAAACGCACCTGAGCTACCACCGACCCGCCTCAGAACTTTTACCGCTCGTTTCATCCGCGCCGCACCTGAGGAAGAGGAGAGGTCTTCCTCCCTGGGCTGGAAGCTGTTGAGGATGGACACCAGCCACGGCCAGACGCTGCGGGGACACAAAGGACACGTTCTGGTCTCAGCGGTTCAGACGCTGCGCCGCATCAGCAACAGGAAGCTGGACTCACTACTTCCTGTTCTCCACGGCAGCTTCCTGGAAGATGCTGGTCCTCAGCTTCAGCCAATCCAGAGACAGCTTGATGGCCGGCAGAGGACACTCCCCCATGATGTCCTCCCCCCGCGTCTTACTGAGCAGAATCCGGCCACACATCACGCCCAGGAAGGACACTGAGGAGACATGAGGGACACTCAGGAGACATGAGGGACACCGAGGAGACAAGAGAGACACCGAGGAGACATGAGGGACACCGAGGAGACAAGAGGGACACTCAGGAGACATGAGGGACACTCAGGAGACATGAGGGACACTCAGGAGACGGGAGGGACACCGAGGAGACATGAGAGACACCGAGGAGACAAGAGAGACACCGAGGAGACAAGAGAGACACCGAGGAGACAAGAGGGACACCGAGGAGACAAGAGAGACACCGAGGAGACGGGAGGGACACCGAGGAGACAGGAGGGTCGGTGGTCCTTACTGAAGAGTCCGAGCAGCTGGAACCAGCTGACCTGCTGCTCGGCGCCGCTCGGCTCTCCGCCGTCGGCCGTCAGGTCTCTGAGGTGATGCAGCTCAAACAGGTTGATGACGGTGATGTGGACCAGCTGCTGGGAGCTGAAGGCTTTCTGCAGGATCAGCCTCTGCACACACAGAGAGACGCTGGTCAGGCCCGGCTGGCCCAGGTCCAGGCCCAGCTGACCTAAGCTGGCCCAGACCCGTATGGCCAAAGCTGGCCCAGGCCCGGATGGCCAAAGCTGGCCCAGGCCCGGATGGCCAAAGCTGGCCCAGGCCCGGATGGCCAAAGCTGGCCCAGGCCCGGATGGCCAAAGCTGGCCCAGGCCCGGATGGCCAAAGCTGGCCAAAGCCCGGCTGTCCTGGGTCCGGCCGGGTCCGGACCTGGCTGGCACAGGCTCGGCTGTCCTAAATTGGCCCATACCCGGCTGTCCAAGGTCCAGACCCGGCTGGCCCAGGGCCCAGCTGTCCCAGGCTGGGCCAGGCCCGGATGGCCCAGGCTGGGCCAGACCCGGATGGCCCAGGCTGGGCCAGGCCCGGATGGCCCAGGCTGGGCCAGACCCGGATGGCCCAGGTCCAGGTGTGCTACCTGGAACTGCTCCTCCAGTTTCTCCCGCAGAGCGTCCAGCTTGTCCAGGCTCTTGCTCAGGTAGACGTGTCCGTGGAACCGGATGAAGGCTTTGATGAAATCAGAAACGCTCCACTTGGTTTTCACGTCGTCGCGGCTGCAGAGACACAGAGGAGCGGTTACACGGTATTGATGCGCGGCGTCAGAGCCGGGTTGGGGCCGGTACCTCTCCAGGGCCTTGGACAGGGCCTTCTGCAGGTTGGTGGAGGCAGCGGGGAAGGGGAACTTGACAGCGATGCTGCGGCAGTAGTAGAAGATGGTGGTGAGGTGATCACCTTTGGAGGAGGCCAGGATGGCCAGCTGGTTGTAGGGCTGACCTGCAGACCAAGCACAGCACTCAGGGCCAGAGACTACAAACATGGCTGCCGAACGTCAGTCAGACTACAAACATGGCTGCCGAACGTCAGTCAGAGACTACAAACATGGCTGCCGAACGTCAGTCAGACTACAAACATGGCTGCTGAACGTCAGTCAGAGACTACAAACATGGCTGCCGATCGTCAGTCAGACTACCAATATGGCTGTTTGATGAGCGCCTGCTTCTATCTGCAGGATGTCTGACTGCCTCAGAGGGCCGGATGGCAGATTACTGATAAATGTACCAATTAAACTGATCGATTATTGTAGTTTTCTCTGCATTTGATGAGTTCCTCTTAAAATCAAACATTTAACATCTTATTCTCACTGAACACATCCGCCATCTTGAAGCTCTAACTCTGGCTCTCTGAGGACCACAGGAATAGTTATGGCGGACCTGATGTGGCCCACAGACCTCCATCGCCATGGAAACGTGAGGAGGACAACCAGCTTTGCTCAACGTCTGGAGGCCAGTTGGGTTTCCAACCAGCAACCCAACATTCCTGCACTCACTGGACCCGGATCAGGGTCACAGGAGAACCGGAACCAAAGGCCGGGTTCACCCTGAACGGGTCAAAAACTGGTTCAGAGAACACCTCAACGGTACCATAAGACCAGCAGGACCGGACCCATCAGGACCGGCAGACCCAGCAGGACCATCAGAACCGAGTGGGTCTGGGTGGACCCAGTGCGACTCACCGTTGGACGGAACCAGCTGGGCCGCGTGTCGGTAGTACGACTCTGCCTGGCTGGTCTGGTTCCGGTATCGAGCTGAAAGACAAACAGGGACCGGGTCAGAGAGGATCAGAACCGGCCGGCGAGCGGCGGGCCGAGGTTCTGCTGACCGATGTCTCCCAGGTGGACCAGGCAGTGTTGGCAGATGTAGGAGCAGGAGCTGGGCTGCGGCGTGACGATGGCGCCGCCGCCGCCCTGCCGGTTGCTGATGATGCCGAGCTGAGACGATCGGACCCGGCACGGCAGGTCCACGTTGAAGACGGTGCAGAGCTCCTGCAGCAGCTGCAACACAGCAGCAGCCGGTCAGACGCGGCCACTCGGCACCGGAACCAGAACCGGAACCGGGTCATACCTGGGTGTAGAAGCCGCTGGCGGCCTCCAGGAACAGCGACAGGTTGGCCTGGACCTCGCTGCGGTTCGGGTTGGCCCGGTTCTTGGCCTGGCTCTGCAGTGTGGTGATCTGGTTCTTAAAGGCGTGGTTCCACCTGCAGCAACAGCAAACCAGGTCCTGAATCCTAAACTAAGTTATTTATTTTATTAAAAACTTGTTGGACTTTCTCAGTTTTCTCGTCAGTATGGAGCGCTAAGCCCCGCCTCCTCACCAGGTGACCTCAGGTATGGAAGCTGCAGATTTATTTATTGTGACAGATCAAGTGTGTGTGTGTGTGTGTGTGTGTGTGTGTGCGCGCAGCAGCTTACAGGTCCTGCTCCACCTTCTTGTCCAGAGCGTACTCCAGGTCCGTCACCAGCATCTTCTGGTAGAGGTCCTGCAGCGCCTGGCGGGACGTCCACACCTCTGCTGCCCCCAGCTTGGAGTCTGGACACCCAGAGAGGAGGAGGAGGAGGAGGGGGCTGAAGTCAAATCGGACCAGAACCGTTTCTGATGACGTTATGATCAGTTGGTGATGAAGATCAACTCCAGCCGGTCAGTTTTTTAGCTTCCTTTGAACTTTTCCTCCAATTCACTTAAATCAACATTTAAAGTTTTCTGCACATTTATAAACTTACGTTTTTATTGAAACCTAAATTATTTTTTAATAAAGTCCTGAAAACTTAAAACAAATATTAAAAGCTGAAATTTGATCTAAATAAACTAAAATATTTTCCTCTGAAGCTTCAAAACTGCAACAAGTCGTTTCATTGGTTGTCAGAGATCATGTGACTGTGATGTAAACAGGAAGTCCATCGGCTTTTCATGAGATCAACAAAACTGGGTTTGACAGAACCCATCCGGACCTAAAGGTCCAGTAAAGTTCTGACCCGAGTCGGACCTTCAGCTCAGAGCAAACAGCTTCACTCAGCAGGACGCCTCAGTCATCACCATCATCATCATCATAATAATATAATAATCTGTAATAAAAAGGAGATCTGGCAGAAAAATGTCCACCAATAATCAAGACGCTGATCTTACTGCAGATTACTGAGTCATAATCCATCAAAAGAACCAATCAGAACCTGGTCCGACTGGGCTGGAGGGTTCTGTGGAGCTGAACTAACTGGTCAGGTCAAAGGTCATCAGAGGAAAAGCAGGTCGTCTGTCTGCAGAACTTCAACTACAGGAATCTTCAGAAAAGTGAAAAAAGAAGATAAATGTCTCTACAAAACATGTAATAAACATGTTTATAACATGTTTA